ATGCTTGCAATGTTAGATTGTAAAGTTCTAATGCTATCTGTTCTAACTATAAAAGGTACAGCTGTCATAAAACCAGAGAAAAAGGCTGCATGGCTATGATAGTATGTGAGAGAGTCAGTGGTAATATCATTGCATTCCTATTGTTCAGTGTTAGAGGAGCTCAGCTTAGTCTGACAGTTTGCCTGCCCTGGACCAGGTTAGCTTTCCAGCATAAGTTGCCACAGTGACTGATTTTGATCTTTGTTAAATTTGTTTTATGGAACCAAATCATTTGACAGTGAGTCAGACTAACTGAAATAAACCTGGCCTATCTGGTAAACTTGTTTTATGAAACGGGCCTCGAGGCATTAGAAGTCAGAAGACACATAAGTTAATTTATGATTTGCTGTCTGCCTGAACCAAAGAAATAAATGCGATCATATTTTTTCCACTGCATCGAATCGCATTGTTTAATCGGATCGAATCGAAATCGGATCGCACTGCATCGTAATAGGGGTGAATCGTATCGCAAGCTACTTCATATGTATCGTCAATGTATCGTATCGTTGGCTATGCATCGAGATGCGCATCGCATCGGCCTCAGTTATGGAGATGCACATCCCTATTAAATATACACTTTAGTCTGAGGTCAGTAAGAATGTTTTTTTTTTTTAAAGATTAATACTTTTAATCAGTAAGAATGCAATAAATTGATCAAAAGTGACAGTAAAGAGATTTATAATGTTAAAATGTAAAAAAAATATTAGGCAGCACAACTGCTTTCAGCATTGCTAAATGTTTGAACACCAAATCAGCTTATCAGAATGATTTCTAAGGAACACTGAAAACTGGAGTAATGGCTGCTCAATATCAAGCTGACGTCACAGGAATAAATTACTTTTGAAAATATATTAAAATAGAAACCTCTTCTAATTATTGAATTAGGTGAGCAGAAACAATATTCAAACTTGAGGGTGATGTGGGCTATTTACCTGCTGCAGACTGGGATACGAACACCTGTGGGGTCTGTTGCTGCGGTAACAGAGAAGGCGCACAGCCCAGCTGGGAGAAGTTAGTGCTGGACATTCCTGAACTCTGCAGCTGCTGGGGCTTCACCTTACAGATGTTGGGAGGGTCAGAGGCTGATGTGCTCTTCGTGCTGAGAGAGGATGTTGTGTAGGTTGCAGATCCTGTATAACAGAAGTCCACTATTAAAATTCGGCCCATGTCTGTTTTTTTTTTAACTTTCTGACCCATTCATGGGGTGTTCTGGTCAAGCGTGAACTCTTACCAGACAGGGAGGTGCTGGGGGTGACCGAGGCCACAGGTATCTGAGGCACTGAAGCACTAGAGAAGGAGTTGAAGGAGGCACTGCCTGCTCCTCCTCCACTGGTGATGGGGGAGGCAGAGGAGGTGACAGGAGAGCTCTTTTCCACAAGACTAGGCGAGTTCTCCCAAGCCTTACGCGCAGATTCCATCTGCAGGAAAACAGTGAAGAGCAGTTTAAAAGATGCTCCTGGTAGCATCTGCACTGACTTACTTGTGTAAAGTACATTTTGACTATTTATTTTCAAGTCAAGTCAAGTCAAGTCTGCTTTATTGTCAATTCTTCCACATGTACAGCACATACACACAGAGAATTGAAATTGCGTTACTCTCAGACCCCTGGTGCATACAGATAACACTAACAGTAAAAGAAGCTGTGTGTCGGGTGGGTGGGATCACCTGCAATGCAGAGGGCTTTGCGGGTGAGACGGGTGTTGTAAATGTCCTGGAGGGAGGGGAGAGAGGCACCAACGGTCTTCTCAGCTGCTCTCACTATGCGCTGAAGTGTCTTGCGGCAGGAAGCGTTGCAGGCACCATACCACACAGTGATGCAGCTCGTCAGAATGCTCTCGATGGTGCCTCTGTAGAAGGTGTACATGATGGGGGCCGGGGCTTTTGAAGCTTTTGATTAGAGCTTTTGATTAGTGGATCAGGATTTGTGAATGAAACATTACATTTATTCTAGGGCTGCCCCCTAATAGTAGACCAAAATTTTTTTAGGTCGCAGAAAAAAAATCCACATTGGCAAAGTCACGCAGATCGTTAATGGCTGATCTATGGTAATACAGTACATCCGGCAGGACATCCAAACGCTCGCCTATCAATCATCCACCACAAATATGGCTTATCATCTGAAATATGCAAGTATTGGCAACTTTACATGGCCGCTCAATCTAATGTTAACCTATAGAAATGTGCGCTATATTCAAGTGTCTGTGTGGAAGCTGAACATTAGCGCTCACTGCAGGACAGATGGAGGCGCCGGTGCACTCACTTGCTCTTAAAATAGGCTACTCCGTAATTTTTGGTCATACAGATAAGAGTAATACATCTTTCAAATCTGTAAAGACTATGTTTATTTATGTGCACTCACAATAACAACAGAATGCACTTTTGTAAAATAATGAAAGCAAACAGGACGCGCTTTCTGCCATCTCGGTCTGTGAACTCGAGCGTGAAACTCAGTGTATATCTTTGCCTTACAGACATTAAAATATATCTATAGAGAGTGAAAATGTCTACTTTCAAATGAACCAATTAAAATGGAAAACAAATATTCTCAGATTATGTAATCCGTGTGAAACATGCACACAGGCGCATCACTACTGCGGAGATGACGAGTAAGTGTCGCCAACTTCATCTCTTAAACCTAAACAAAGAAAGCACTTGTTTATCAGTGAATTATTAAAATGTTAATGCAGCCTCCTTACTGTTTTCCCCTGACACATTCATAATCATAGCTTCTGCCGGTGCGCTGTGGCAAGCTTTATGCGTGTGCTTGAGCGCTTATTAGGTTTTGTAGGCAATTAAAGGCTCATTATAATGATTTAAATGGTTTAT